TATATATATATATATATATATATATATATATATATATATATATATTCTCTAAAAATTTTTAAATGTAATTTTGTGTGTATGGATGATTTGTTTATTTGTATCTCCGTGTGCCATATGTGTGTCTGGTGCCCATGGAAGCCAGAAGAAGGGCATCAGATTCCCTGGAATTGGTGTTGTGGATGGTTGTGAGACACAATATAGGTGCTAGGAATTGAACCCAAATCCTCTGCAGGAATGACAAGTGTTCTTAACTGCTGAGCTCCCTCCTCTCTCTCTATGTATAGACATATACATATATAATGCATTTACACATACACACATGTATACATAGATACATACATATTTATACAGTTTGGAATTTGTTTAATCAGACGTCCTGATTAAAGATGAAGCTTTGTGGGCTGGGGAGATAGCTCAGTCAGTTAAGTCCTTACCTTGAAAGCATAAGGACCTGAGTTCTACCCTGAGATCCGACATAAAAAGCAGGTAACCCAAGCACTGGGGGAAAGAGACGGGCGTCTCTGAGGCTCACTGTCCAGCCTGCTTGCACTGTTAGATGAATCCCAGGTTAGTGGGAGGCCCTTTCTCACAATCAGGGTGTGACTTCTAAAGAGAGAAAGCCGAGGCTGACCTCCGGCTCCGCAAGCACGCGCATACATGTATGTGTACCTCATACGTGAATGGACACATAGAAACACTAGCTTTCCATTGGAAAATGTCTGCTGAGAATGTCTTTAAGCCCTGCCAGGTTAGACTTTCAATTTTGTGTTGACTTCTGTGATGGATGGGCATGAGAGTGGCATACTGATGATTCTCAGTTACTGCTCATTGATAATGCTAATGAAAATAATCTCTCTCTTCTAGACCCTTCCTTGCCTATTTCTCCAACCACACTTCCTACAGATGGCTTTGTTAAATATGGTAAAAGTAGCTATTCCCTCATGAAATCGAAGGTACCGTGGCACGAAGCAGATAAACATTGCAAGGATCATGCTTCCCAGCTTGCTAGCATTCTAGACCCCTACAGTAATGCATTCGCGTGGATGAAAATGCACCCATTTAATGTACCCATGTGGATTGCCCTGAACAGCAACTTGGTAAGATTCTAGAAGCATTCCCAGCTTGACATGATTGGTAAATTATGGTCCAGTGTATTTCTCTTTGTTTCTTCACTTGACCATTTACATGGGGCTCCGCTGCTGTTAGCGGTCTAATGACCCAGTGATACATGTCAGAAACCAAACTGAGAAGTCTCTGGTGTTTACTATAATTGGCTTATATCCAAAATTATATTGTGCATCTAAACAGCTCCATGCATTTGTTTTTTTCTTTCCAGTGTCATAGTTACACAGCTGCACCATGCGAATTAAGAAAGTAGGTCAGGAGCATAGGAGACGGGGGATGGGACTACTTCATTTTTTGTTGCAAAACGCTTTAGAATTGCTATGGGTCCCAGACTTACAGAGCATCCATCTTTTGTGTGCGAAGTGTTTCACTGAAGTCCCATCCTTTTATTCCACAGCAGAGAGGAGGGTGGAGGGTTGATGGAGAACTGGGACACAGTGAGGGTGAGGCTCTAAACTAAGAGGACAAAAGAGTGGTGAAGAGACTCCTGGAAAAGATCTTTGTGGACGCCTTATACTCCACCCATCATTTGTGCACCCACAGTAACCAGCAAACAGCACTGCGAATGTCCTGGGGCAGGGGAGGAGCTCTAGAGGGCTTGAAAGAGAAATTCAACCATTTTTTTCAATACTGGGGTTAAATCTCAGGCCTCACATATTCTAGACAAGTGTTGTATTGCTGGGTTCTATCCTCATCCCAAAGATACCATTTTTAGACATAGCCTAGGGCGGTGGGAGCTAAGGAAGGGTACCAAAAAGAACGAGGAGAGAATGGTGTAACATTGGACAGTGGACTGAGATCAGGTTTTGAGGAGCTTTTGGTTGCGATGAGGAGATGCAAACTAATCATGCACTGGGTACTCTCTGAGTAGGGTGGAGGATATTTAAATAGCTAGCCCCATATGGGTTTGGTGATTGAGCTTAGACAAGAGATTTTCATCTCTGCTGACTCTTTTTTAAATAATTAATGTATCTAATAAATCATTCATTTCTTCTCATAGATATGGTCCTACTTCTCTAATGAGTTTCAAATAGGCCATCAAATATTTTCAGAAAGATTAAGTACTTTCCCACTATGATGGTGTTTTTGATTACAATAGGAATGCCATTTTCATGAGACGCCCAGAGTCAGTGAGATGCAAGAATTATTTGAGTAAGGAGAATGTTGCACAATTTCACCTTGAGATAACATGTGCTTTTAAGTTTTCATGTTGGATCTTTAATAATTGTCCTGGTAAATTAAATGATGGACTTAAAACGAGGAAAACATTTCAACTTTAAAAAATTATTAATCCTTGGCTAATGTTTTATATCTTTGTTCTTAGGTATTACTTATAAAACCACTTTTCGATCATGTACTATTATTGATAAGTAGCATTTTTAATATTCCTAATTAGCTTGGATGTTATTATGCATTTCTTTTTCCAAATTTAATAAGAAAGTAAGTGAAATATACAAATGGAATGAAACCACCAGCTTTTAAAAAATAGCATGGTTCACATAGTTGAAAGGCCACCTCTCTCATAGCAAGACACTGAGCTCCTCTAGAGTCTATAAGGATAAATAATCTTAGCTATCACTTTTTATTGGTGTCTCAGCGGCAGAACAACAAGATCATGACGATAAATGGATGTTTCAGCAAGCAACAAACAGCAAAATGAAATTGATGTTATAATTTCAGTAAGATAAACATTTTATTGTTATGAGAATCCAACTTTTCTTTGGCTGTGAAAATGTGAAAACAAAGACAGTTTTATAGAATAAGACACATAATCTTTGGTCATTGTATTATTTTCTTTCCAATTGTCTTGTTTTTTTTTTTAACCATTAATTATAACTATTTTCTTCAATTATTTTTCATATATTTTGTATTTTGGCCATGTTCATCTCTCCTCCCAATTCCTTCCACCCAAGGGGTCATCTTCACCTCTGTACCCACTCAACTTTATGTTCTCATTCTCTCTCTCTCTCTCTCTCTCTCTCTCTCTCACACACACACACACACACACACACACACACACACACACACTTCCCTCCCCTTTCCTTCCTCTCCAAAAAAGAAAAAAGAAAAAGTAAAATCAAACAACAATAGAAAAAAAGCAATAAAACAAATAAACAAAAAGGGCAAAATAGTTTCCAGGTTATAGACCTAAGGATCACCATGAAATAATAATCACTAGGATGTTTTCATACTAACTTTGAGTTGGTAGCAATGACTTAAAAATTTAAAAATTTTTTCCAGTGTTCAAGGTTCTCTGTCACATTACCGCCTTAAGTATTATACTCTTTCCTTGCTTGTTTCCTTCGTGCTTCCTGCACGCAGCAGGACTGAAGGGTGGTGCTTGTTCTGTTTGTGCAGACCAACAACGAGTACACTTGGACCGATAAGTGGAGAGTGCGGTACACTAACTGGGGTGCGGAGGAGCCCAGGCTTAAGTCAGCCTGCGTTTACATAGATGTCGACGGCTACTGGAAGACCTCGTACTGCAACGAAAGCTTTTATTTTCTCTGCAAAAAGTCAGATGGTAACTGGCTATACAAAAGGGGGTTGGGGAATCTCAAGTCTGAAATAAACTATTACACAGCTCTGCTGACCTCATTAATGTATCCTGGGTAGCTGAGGATGACAGAGAATGTCTCCCTCCCCTTGACAGAAAGACGGGCCTGCCTGTCAACCAGTATGCCCAGGTCAAAATGATGGAGATAGACATTTTTCGTCATTTCTAAGATTTACTTGCTCATGATAGAACTTTGAATTTTTGTTATTGAAGTTGTCCTCTGAATCAGCGGTGGCAGATTCTCCAAGAAGGTGGAATTCCTTTTGGTGTCCATAGTGTATCTGCATCAGCAGAGTTACATCAGGATGTGTTTAGATTGAATGGAATTATCGATGCTATGGACACAGTCCTAGAATTACAGCTATAGAGGTTTTGTCACAGCTGTTCTTAGTGGAAAGGAAATTACAGGTATTAGAATCTCAGAAAAAGAGACGTGGCTTGAAAAAGAAATCCACTTTAATTATTTTTGAGTAATTTATTAAACCTATAACAGCTCTATTTTTATCTATCTATCTATCTATCTATCTATCTATCTATCTATCTATCTATCTA